GAAGATCTGACTTATTTAGCTGCAGGCACAGGCTGCATTTAATGTCCAGAGCTATTAGTGATTCTTGTACTACTAAAGCGCTGCTCCGGGGTACCCATTTCCTTGCATTAATGTCTACCTTCCACCGCAGCAAATCAAAGGCATATCTAATGCCTTTGCCTATCTTAGCATACTCTCTAAATATCACAGGTTAGAAGGCTGAGGGGCTATGCAATGGTCAGAATGAAACGGAGAACGTGCCATTTTTTGTACATTTCAAAGCAGAACAATTTATTATCAAGAACAAGAATATCAAAGGAGAGGGGGAAAAAAACTTCATCTGTTTCATAAACTTGTATTCACTGCAATTTCACCACTTAACACTTCCAGCACAGAGAGAATGACTTATTAAGCTTGAAGGTTCTTCTTTTTAATCTTACGCCTGTAGTTACAGTTTTTCACATTTTTTGCCGTTATCGTGTAAATATAGAACTCCTCTGCTGAAACCAGAGATTACAACAGTAGTTATTAAGAGGCTATTCAAAAGTTTTTAAACGTCCTTAAAGTGCTTCATAGCCTCCCGCATTTTTTTAAAATGTTTTGTCCTCGTCACAGACAAGATAGTGGCTCTGTTAAGAATGCGAACTGGGGTTTTTTTATTGCCAGTCGAAGGTGCGCTTCACCAGCCTGAAGAAGGTGCGGTTGTGTTCTTGAAGGTAGGAGCGGAGCTGCTGGAGCACAGTGCTGTTAACAGCAGGATGAGGTCGTCCCTTAGACTCGTGCAGACAGCGCTCTCGGCCATCACTGCGGATGCAGTAAAACCCCTTGGTCTGATTGAAGTAGAAGTTGGTGGATACTATCCTGGGTGGCAAGTTAAGGAAACGCTCCACCCTCTGAAGCTCTGGGAGGGGGTCACGGATCAGAGCGTCACCGTCTACTATGTGTATCTGTTCTAAGGGAAAGTGGCGCAGCCAGTTACGCATGTGGACGTCGTACAGGCTCCTCTGAATGGCCTTGTACCTCATATTCAGCGCTCCGTTGCGCACTAGCAGGTTTTCAATGGCTTGAACCGGCTTGTGGTTCTCCAGCCGGTTAAAGTACACCTGGGTGTAGTCGGAGATGACCCGCTCAGCTGGGTCTCGCAAGATCAGCAGCAGCTTAATGGAAGAGTTCATGGCACAGATGCGTTCGGGTGCAAGGGCTGAAGTGAAATAGCCTGGAGTTTTCTCTATTGTGATCTGGTGTGGGTAAGAGTAGGGCATTAACTCACGGTACCACTCAAAGCCCTTGGCGTAGTTCTCATCCCAGTCAAAGAAGTGCACCTCGGTGGCGGCGGCAGCCACTTCAGGGTGTATGTCCAGCATCTCCAACAGCGCTCTTGTGCCACCTTTGCGTACCCCAATAATGATACTATGTGGGGCTCGTTTGCTTGTTCCCGGGGGTGGAGATGTGGTTACATCTCCAGAGACATTCGCTAGTAGGCCGGTGTCAAGGTCCACGGTGTCCAGTGTAATCCCAAATCCTGCCTCAGGTGGGGCAGCGTATGTCTGAAGAACCAGGAGAAAGGCTGATGCCAGAAAACAGGCCATGGTGATGGACTGAAGTGGAGACTTGCAAAGAGTCAGTAGCAAGAAAGAAGGCTGTGGCTTAGCTGTGGACCAAAGCTGACTGTCTGAACTCAGTGGTGCTAAGAAATGCAGTCTTTGTCTGCCATTGAATATGAACTGGAGACAGAGGACGAATCAGTCTGCGGCACATCTGCAGGGAAGAACAAAGAAAAAAAAGAGAAAGAAGAAAGGGCTTTTAGGTTTCAGGCATATAATGAAGAATGAATGTCTGTATTATACTGAAATGGCACCTTTCTCATTCCCATGAAAAGCAATCCAGCCATAAATACAATCCACATCAGTTATAAGTGTATGATCTCAAAAGGATTATCTCAATTCATCTTTCTTTGAGTCTCTTTTAATTCTCCCTCTTCCCATCTGCTTTCTCTTCTCACTCTATAAAGTCACTTTCAATTGATACTGTAATGTCTCGGTGCGAAAAACATTTAGCCAGACAGCTCATCAGAAAATGTGTCTGAAATATGCAATTGAGTCTGAAGGCCAAAAGATGAGACCAGATTTCTTTGTCTTCCTTCAGCAGGTGAAAAATCCACACCTGTATCAATACGCACCTACCCACAGCGCTGAAACCAAGAGATTGTAAAGACAAATTTATTGCCGGAAATCAGATGAGTTCCCACTCTAGGTGGCTTTGATTTTCCATACGAGCTGAGAAAGATCGATACCAGAGCAGTGAAATCCACCAAACAACAAGGAAAAGGATTTAGGGTGTTAGGTTTGACTTATAATCTTGCTGAGGAGCCCTTCAAGAGCATGGGAAAATTGAATGTCGCTGCCTCGTCTTTTTTAACTTTTGATCCTTTCTATAAGGCCTTTTAAATATTTTAATATTTGCCTTGTTTTTCTTGCCTTCAACAAGCGCTAGTCAAATGGTGTGCCTCAACTTCAGCAAGAAAAAAGGGAAAAAAAACATCTCTGTAGCAATAAATGTATACATATATATATATATATATATATATATATTTAACGCCATGGAATTAATTGAAATGGCAAAAGTCTTCAGATATTTTTCACGAGGAAAGGCAGCCAAGAGAGCTGCTGCTTACTCTGTGCTAGTCAAAACAACAGGGATGGGCTATGCAAACATCCAGATTCAACAGCAAAGGTCATGGTAAGGCAATCCAAACAAGCACACATATTCCCATCCTGGGAACACTTGGCTGCACACACACACACACGTGCGCACACACACACACACACATTATTTCAAATGCCTACAGTAGACAATTTTCTCCCTACCTCGTCCCTCATAATGTAGACCACAAATGGGTTTCTTTCAAATGCAATTTAAAATCTGGGTGTTTCTGTGGAAGTAACTTCGTCACCTTTTGCACGTTTCAGCACACTGGGGATAATTTCCCTCCCAACTAAGACGCTGAATTCCTGGCTCACAGTCTGTAGGTGCCATTTACTGTAATTACATCTATTGGAGTTTTCAAGGAGGAAAGGATATTTTTTAAAATAAATTTGATCTTTCATTTCTTTGATAACAGCAGGGAGGCTGCCTGTTTCGGCAGTTATTTTTCTCAGCAATCTTTTTCTTCCAAGTCCACCACCACCACCACCACCACCACCACCACCAATATATATATATATTTTTAGAGAAAATCAAACACTCAGTAATTTATTTTATGTTTAAAGAAAGGCTGAAAAAAGTCATTTCCCTACCTAATTTATGCACCAAGCCAGCAGTGTGAAACAACGATCAGCTGGACTCCAGAATGATCAGCCATTACAATAATTTAAGATAAGTTTGTGGGACACGCTCATTCCGGACTGATGAAAGTATGAAAGTGTAATCTTTGCATAGAAACTGTCAACACATTGTGAGGGGATCATAGATTTGTGAGGCGCGCATGGACGATCTAAATCTGCGCACTTGAGTTGTTTTTAGCGGGCCAACTGTTATCATTAATCCTCTGCTTGCAGAAATGCTCAGCCTTCAGCACAATTTAATCACAGAAGCCGTCTCTTAATTAAGTGAAGAGTGTAACTACCAACGCGCAGAGCACATTTCTGCGGTGTCACCAGTGGCTTTCTCTCACCTTACAGAGTCTTTCAACCATATAAAGCCTGTGACACATGCCTCCCCCTCCCCAGTTACACATTATGATCTGTGGTCTGAGTGTGGGACTGGGCCCGTGTTCTGAACGCGGGAGAGCTGACCTGCCCTACAGGAGCGGGGATGGTGTGAGGAGGCACTTATGTGCTGTGACAGCCTCGCCTGCCTGTCAGCGTTTCCCTGGCAGAGAGCTGCCAAGTCCAATGCTAACAGCCAGGCAGCCAGACGAGCTTTCTGTCTCATCCAATTCCCCCCACACCTCTCACAGTACAGCACCACCTGGAAGGAGCCATTGTTTCGCATTCCACCGGGCCTTATTGCTTTATTCTGCACTTGATGTGTATCTTTCCAGCTTTTCAATCGGCACATGGCAACCACAATATCTGGCAGACCACTTAACCAAGAATATATCCGCTGAAGACTGCAGGAACCAGTGGAAAGTTATACAGCAAAGGGCTGGCAGGGGATAACTATGGCCACACTGAGTTTTGTGTGCAGATATAGCATCTGTTTGGTGTCTCATTGCTGCTTCACAGCATCAGAACCTAGATTCAGATTGTAGAACTGGACAGATTTTTGCTTGAAGACTCAAAAAAAAAATCTAAATTGCTGACTTTAAATAATTTAATTGCATATTCATTTTTTGTAACTTTGTTCTATAATGTAAAATGTTAAACTGAACAGAATCTGCTCAAATGCACAGTTACCTCGAGGTGCTTTATTTTGTCAGGTAAAGACCCTACAATAACTGGAATAAAAATACACCCCAGCAACCACATGACCCCCTATGAGCAAGTACAGTGGGGCAAAAAAGTATTTAGTCAGCCACCGATTGTGCAAGTTCCCCCACTTAAAATGATGACAGAGGTCAGTAATTTGCACCAG